TGTGTGTGTGTGTGTTGGGGGCTAGGTCAGTGTGAATTTACCCCGTGGTGAAAGAGCTGCTGATGGGGTTGAGCTTTTTTATATTTCCCTTTACACAGTAAATAAATAAATAACCAACAGCTGAGTTTCCCTCTGCTCCTCTGTCTGTCTGTCTGTCTGTGTGTCACTCGTAGGAGCAGCAGAGGCAGGTTGAAGACCCGAGCAGAGAAGTGAAGAAGGTCAGTAATCACTTACTAAGTTTATTATTAATGGTCATTTAATTAGAGTTATCAACGTTCCTCTGAAACAAGAGTAAAGCAAGCGGTTAAATCCTCTATACAACCATTTAATGAACAGTTTTTAACAGAGTATAAAGCAGATCATAGTTTTGACAGGTGAAGTGAACAACACTGATTATCTCTCCATCGTGGCAGCTCTTAGTGGGTGGGATATATGAGAGAGAAGATGAACAGTTTATCCTCAAAGTTGATGAGTAAGAAGCAGGAAAAATGGGCAAGCATAAGGACTAGAGTCAGTTTACCAAAGGCCAAGTTGTGATGGTAGACAACTGGATCAGAGCATCTCCAAACCGCAGATGTTGTGGGTTGTTCCTGGTCTGCAGTGGTCAGTGACAGGGTCGTGAACGTCCAAGGCTCACTGATGATTGGGGAGCGAAGGCTGGCCCGTGTGGTCCGATCCAACAGACGAGTTACTTACGTTAATGCTGGTTCTGATAGAAAGCTGTCAGAATACACGGTGGACCTCTGTCCACGGCCAAAAGCACCAACAATGGCAATGGTGAGTATCAAAACTGGCCCACGGAGCAATGGAAGAAGAAGTCCTGGTTCTTTTACATCATGTGGATGGCTGGGTGCTTACCTGGAGAACACCTGGCACCTGGATGCACGATGGGAAGAAGGCGATTCCGCAGAGGCCGTGTGATGCTTTAATCAATGTTCTGCTGGGAAACTTTGGATCCGTGTGCGTGTTACTTTGACACCTACCACCTACCTAAGCATTGTTGCACACCATGTACACCCTTTCATGAAAATTGTACTCCCTGATGGCTGTGGAGTCTTTCAGCAGGATAGTGCAACAATGACTTTGATCTGCTGACCTCGCCTCTAAGTTCCTCAGATCTCAGTCCAGTGAAGGATCTGTGGGATGTGCTGGACGAACAAGTCCAACCTATTGAGGCTCCATCTCACGTCTCACAACAGAACTTAAAAGATCTGTTGCCCCTTGTCCCAAACTACTGGCTGGAAGAGACACTGTGAAATATAAAAAGCCCATTAAGGATTCCAAATTGGGAAGCTGGACCAGTGAATTTAAGAGGAACACAATGATTTAGCATGACAGTCCATTTAGCACAAGATGTCAGTACATTCAGTTCAATTCTGTAAACAACCATGAATCAAATACAGAGGTCAGGGGGCAGATACAATACTGAACTGTGTTAAGCTTTCGATTGGCTAGCAATACAGCTAACCAATATAGGAACAGCATGTGTCATTATCTGTGATTGGGATTACCGGTTATCTTTCCACTTAGGCCTGAACCTAGTCGCTAAGTCTGTTATCAGTTTGTAGATCAAAGGGGTCAAGTTAGCAATCACGCTTAATCTGTTTGTAATAATCAGCTGGTTTGGAGACAGGTTTTCTATGTGCATTTTTTTGGAACGGAGTAAACACTTGCACATTTCAAAGCACGTTAATGTCCTTAAACATCAGTCTTTTCTTACATATCTCCTCCTCCTTAGACCCCAAATGACTCCGGGCTCCCCGACGTTTGTGGGAATATTGTGTTTCTTTCAGTTTAGCTTTGATTTCCATCGTTGACACCCATGAAAAATCGCTTTAATTCAAATTTACTGGCTTACTAAGAGTAATCTGAACTTCCTCCTTCATTTACACTGATTCTGCACTTTAGCAGATGTATTATCTGAGCTGGTCTTATACAGTCATCCTAACTGCATCAGTAACATAGAGCCAAAGAAAAGTGAATTTGCTGGTAAAAAAAAAATTAATAAAAGTGGAATAAAAAGAGCAGAGACCACATTGTTAGTGTGGAGAGCTCTTAATCATTTTAAAAGGCATCTCTAGTAAATGCTGTTACTGGAGTAGAGACAGTAGAAATCTATTTTCTATTAGTAGGGTGCATACAGGTACAGCTGTTCTAATGCTCCGCTCTAAAGGTAGTGACTGTGAAAGGATTGCAGGAGAATGATGTAATACAGCAGCTTAATCTTTCTAAACACCATTACTATAATTATATACATATATAATTTTACCTGTAACTGCAGTGTAACGTGTCCGTTTCTCCCGGTTTAACCCTGAAGGTGCGTAAAGCTCGTAACCGACGCCAGGAGTGGAACGTCCTGGCCTACGACAAAGAGTTCAGACCAGACGCCAGGCTCGCCCCCTCCCCTTACCACGGCATGTCCTCTGAAGGCTCACTGTCCCCAGATAGCAGGTAAACACACGTGTGCACACACACATACATTAGCTATAAGTGAGGTTTGTCTCTGAGGTCCTGTTTCCTGTTCTAGTTTATGTGTACAGTCAGTGTTTGAGGATGGGCATTGGATGAGTGTTTCTCTCATCCTTTAAAGCCTATAAATACTATTCATATACTATAAATAGTACACAGTAAGTTGGTTTTTTACACAGCCACTATAAGTGTCAGATAATTTAAGCACATACCTGCTTAATACAGAGATTTAAGAAGTACCAGCTTACTGTGTCGTTTACAGCTCTGTGCTGCCCTCTTCTGGCAAATGCAGTTCAGAGCACCTGGATTGCGTCACAGCAGGTTGGAGGAAAAGATGAGGTTGACTTTCATTAGGGACTGAAGTCACTGCTGTGGCAGAGCAGGAAATAATACAAGGAATAGAAAATCTAACATTTCTGTTATTATCGTGATTCACTGCTCCTTCCTACCTGCCCTCTAATTTTCAATTACAACCCTCCAACAGATCAATGGCGTCCGACTCCTACCCAGCCAGCCCCAACCACCCCTCCACCCAGGCCTCCAGCACTCCCCACCCCGCCGACCACCACACCAGGGATCACCTCAGTGCCGCGGCCCAGACGCAGTCACTGGATCGGGGCCTGAGGCCGGCCAACCAGCCCCCGGGAGCGGGCGGTGCTGCGGCAACAGGTCGGCACGTGGCCTCCCTGGGCCGAACCCCCTCGGGACACGGCATCCAGGCCGGAGGAGATCCGACAGTCAACGGGCCGAGGCAGCAGTCGGTTAAGGACTACCGCGCACACGGGTTTGTTTTCTCCGTGTTATTGCTTGATCTGTTTTACGACTTTGATCGCGTTCAGTTTGTTTCTACTCATTAAAAATCTTTAATTTACTTCTTTCCATCACCAGAGGGCAGCCCTCCACCATCCCCGAGTACTACATCCCGCCGGCCCCTCCCCCACCCCCACTAACCATCCCTTCTGCCCAGACCGCCTTCGACTCCACCAACGCCCCGCCCTCCGCCACCTCCGCTGTCCCCCCGACCTCTTCCGCCCTCTCCCGTCCCTACTCACCCTCTCCTCCTCCTCCCCCAGCCAACTACGTGCCCTCCCCCTCCCACCCGCCTTCAGGCGCACCCCCAGCCGCCCCTCCTCCACCTCCTCCGGGAGCCCCCGCGGGCCACCAGGCCCACCCGTCACCCCCGCACGCCGCTATCGGTCAGTCAGCTGTGGACGCGGCACCCTCGACGAGGAAGTCCACCATGCTGGGGATGATCCCCATGAGCGACGCCCGCTCCGACCTGTTGGCGGCCATACGTAGAGGTGAGTGCGTCTGTATGAGGAAGGGACGCACAGGGTCTTTATTATTAGCCCCCACATAGAGCAGGGAAGTTAACACAGCTACGTTTCATTTTGGTTGCTTACAAACAAATTTATTTCACAAAAACTACCAGGATGGATTAGTTTGAATAACTGAAAAATGCCTTTGCATCCAAAATAGTTTGATTTTGGTGAAACAAACACATAAAGAAAGTTTAAAGGTTTTAAAGGTTTTACACTATAAAAAAAAACCCCAAGAATTTACTTAAATTTCTTAATAGAAATGATCTTTTTTTTGTTAACTCCGCCCTTCCTCTGCCCCCTCCAGGTATCCAGCTGAGGAAGGTGCAGGAGCAGAGGGAGCAGGAGGCAAAGAGGGAGCCCGTTGGTAACGACGTGGCCACGATCCTGTCGCGCCGTATCGCAGTGGAGTACAGCGAGTCCGACGACGACTCCGAGCTCGACGAGAACGAGTGGTCCGACTAAAAGAAGAAAAAACATAGAGAGATGAAGTGGGGAGAGTTAAAGGGGGAGAAATGTGACGCTAAGTTGAAACTTAAGGGGTTTGGTTAGTTTTAATGTTCATCATCAACTAAAAAAGTCTGATTAAAAAAGAATATCAGTCATACATTTCTCACACACCTGTTTGTGAACTTAAACCAGAGAGGTTTTTGTGTCCAGCCACCCAGGGTGTATGGCACAGTAACCACACACACTGTTTCAGCCCCACATCTGCTTATTTTTAACCTTTAACAACACTCAGTACTCAGCAGCTCCCCCTCCCCTACACGCTCTATTAGCAATATTACAGGCTCTGTGTGCAGGTGGGCCCCTGGTGAGTATGGGGGCGACGTGTTTACAAAACACAAGGTATATAGCACAAGACAAACTAATTATAGTGCAATCTTTAACTCCTCTGCCAAATGTTGAGAAAGGATTTATGGAAACGAGTAAGGATAATCAGGGAAAATAAAGAAAAATAGCTTATTAGCAGATAACTCGCTAGCTTTCTGGGTCATGCCTGTTTATGAAACAGGCACACCTTCCTTTGGAGACACTGACCTTTTGAGAGTTTGGCTCATCTGAACCAGCGTGAGACAGCAGGAGGAGCATTATCTCTGTGTAGTGAGCTGTCATGCATGCTAACAGGATGTGGCTAATGTAGCTGTAGCTAACGGGAGATAAAAGTGCTCT